TTTACCAAACACTTGTTTTTTTACTATGCAGGCCAGAAGTTCTTTCAACTTACAATGAAATACACGCACAACAATATCTGGTCGATAATGAGAGGATTCCCGTGGCGCTAAGTTTTCACTGATCTCTGGCCAACGTGGATTGCATGTCATTGTTAAGAATAGAGAAGGTTTGCCAAACCTTTGAACAATGGACATTGCATCTAAATAGTTTTGATGCATATTACGGGGAGAACCAATGAAAGAAGAGGGAAGAATGACTTGACGCCCAACTCTCAAATTGTTTTCAGCTGCACGCTGGTGTATGTAATCAGCTACATTTAAATACATATCTGCACGCAAATTACTTTGATTGTGCCTTATAAAATTTAAGCGTGTGCCTTCAATTCGAACATACATATCCACAACCCACTGAAGATGCAGTTTTTGTGAACGATGCAATAAACTGAAAGTTTCTCTGATGGAAAGACGATAGGCAGCATACTGTCTCGTTGTTGTTTTGTTTCGTTGATTATTTGTAACAGTGTGCGAAATATTAATATGCCATCCAGGATCACCATGGGGAAACAGTAGCGGATAAGCCAATGGGTCTAACGATGAGTCTAAAACAGAAACTGTGCGAATGCCACCTGACTTTGACATCACCACCAGGTTTCGTTCCCCAGGAGGTACTCCATCTACGCATCTAAAGATTGCTGCAACATCTGTACTTGTGGCATCATTGTACCGTCGTTGATCAGACGACGCGTTGACAGTCATGTGCGTGCATATTTCCTTTTCATTTCCATCACTGGAATTCCTACAGAGATCACCCATTGTTTGAAAAGATTGGACATATGAGTTCACTCTGTTCAGATATACAGCTATTTCATGCATAATGTTCGCATCACATTTGATTGTTCACGCATTCTGTGTTCAACTGCTGTATCTACATCATAAAAGTAATTCTGAGAGTACTTTGGCTGACAACCTTCACTTGGTATAAGTGAACCAACACGATGGTAAAATGTGTCATGGATTTTAAAATGATACATTCCACCGGTTACACTTTCATCTAAGTGTGTCTCAGAACTTATTATGGCAAATGCAGAATTATAGGAGCGAATATTGTCCAAATAATTTTGGGATCGTTTCTTTGCAGTATGGTCTAAAGATGTTACACCAGTAATCAAATTCTCAAAATATTGTGAATGCGACAATAAAGGAAGATCAACCTTGAAGATCAAGAGACAGCAAATACCATATTCATTGCTACTTCCTGTCTTCTCTAACATAAAATGCTTAGCATGACAAAAGTTACAAATAAAAGTCATAGATCCAATAGTAAAGGGGTCACAATCGTCATGAACAGTTGTGGGGCTCAGTAGTTACAGACCATGTCAACCGTCATCTATGAAAAGGTACCCCGACATAGAGTCGAGTTAACATGTCTTATATACTAGTGAATTATAGTTGTAATTTTGTAGTGGTAGATACGCTACAGTACTCCCCCTCCAGAATTATAGCTATTGATAGAATTCGATGAATGGATGCCACTAGTAGATTCATTGCTGTTTTGTGCGAAGCCGGGAGAGCTGTATTAAGATCACCGTATTTCTTTTTAGTGCCGAATGTGAGAGGTGTATTAACTTCACGGTCGTAGTCGCTCCTATGTTGCCTTTAGCAGTCGAGTGTATGCAGGCCGACGTTGTGAGCTCGAGACTGAGTAGCAACAGTGCGAGGAGGTGGATAATGTTGCAGGCACAAGTAGCAAGTCAACTATTCAATGTGGACCCTCCAACGAAGTAGGCGTTACTGCCGATGTAGGCGTATCCAGATCAAAGTGGGCGTTTTTGCTAAGGTAGGCGTATATTCAATATCATCAAATACGGTATTGTATTTTTTGATGAGGCTATCAAGTTCAAAAGAAGATTTTAAAGTAGTTATACTAGGTAAATTGTCNTTATATACTAGTGAATTGTAGTTGTAATTTTGTAGTGGTAGATACGCTACAATTTCCTCCTCAGAATGGCAAAGGTATGGGAGAGGGAGAATACTGATAAATGTTAAGCAACATCACTCCAGGGAAACAGCAAGTGGTCAAAGCTAAAGAGAATTCTATTCGAGATATAAATTGTTCTGCAAGATTTCGTTTGTTCTGTGACGTACGTCACAGTTTTAGGCACTTTCTGCTTCTGGGGCGTAAATGGTATTGGTATGTGTAACATTTTAAATATATTTTAAGTAAACTAAGAAATATTGAGAAAAAGGAGAAAAAAAAACTTGTTTAAATTTTTTTCAAATCAAACTTTTTTTTTTTTTAACTCAAGAAATTTTCCAGAATTTTGACTTGGGCTCACAATCTCCCCTGAGTAGATTTACTGATTTAAGGACATAATAAATGCTGTCGAACTTAAGCTATGTTCTAGTATAGTTTATATTTCAAAAATTAGTTTAATTAGCTTATTACATATGTAAAAATAGTTTTTGTTTTAGGATATAAGAGAGAAAAAAAAACAGTGATCTTAAAAAGGTAGCTAAAGTTCTGTTTAATATAAATGGTAAATATTGAATAAGATAAGTAAATGAATTTTGCTTTTCTCTTATTTTGGTGATTAAAATTGTTATAAATATTTTTTCCTTTAATAATTATTTTAATATGTCATTGTGTAAACTTTTTTTTATAAATGACTGTTTTGTTTAAAGTTAATTATTTTCATTTTGTATGTCATTTTATTATTTTCTTTTTTTTATGAATAACCATTTAATTTTAAAATTGTTAAATTTCTGATAAAGTTATTAAAATAGTTTTTTTTAGATTTTGTTAATTATAATTTTAATGAATATATTAAGAGATTTTATTTGGATGAAAACCATTTTTTTTTATTTTAAGAATAAATATGGATTGCAAAAATTTTATTCATACGTATTCTAACTTTATTTTTATTATTATTTTCAGTCTTATTTTAATAAATATCTCTTTTTAAAAATAATAGTTATTAAAAAAATATATTACATTTATTTTCTATTTTTGTTTTTTAGTTGAATAAAAATTACAAATTTAAATTAACAATATCTGGGGAGAAATGAATGTCCTAGAAATGGATTTTTTTTAAAAAAGTTAACAGATTAAAAATCTTTTGATATTATGTTTGGATTTTTATGTTCTTACATTCAATATTAATGTATGGGGTGCCTAACCTTAAGTACTAATGCAGATGAAATATTTTTTTTAAAAAATTGAACGGTGAAACCACTAGGAAAGACCAGCTCTATATAACAACCACCTTTGTTTGCTACCACTTTTGGGAGGCTCAGAATTTTTTCCATAGACTTTCTGTTGAAGAAAGCCTTTAAGATATACCTTTAAAACCTCTGCACCAACTGCCGACAAAGTTAAATAAGGAAAAATGAGAAAGTAACAAAACAAATAAGTAGATTAACATGTATTCAAAATCTTAATCTTTGTGTGAGGCTTTTATTTAGAAAGCACTTTTTGATGATACAACCTCATGTTACAGTCAGGGTGCACTAGTGACAATGATTCACTTTTAGAGCTGAAAGTTAAATCAAGATAATTCAAGTTATTTCAATATTTTAGAAAAAGCAAGCATCTCAAATAAACAGACCTTTTATTTTCTTTTAAAGCTAACTAATTTTAATGATATAAAATTAAATTCTAGCTTAAACAAAACATAATTGTTTATTTATTTAAAATAGCTTTATCATTCATTATTGAAAAATTTGTTTAAACACGTAATTATATTAGTTGAAATTATTTTTATTGATGCTAAATTTTATTCATCGATCCGTCTTTTCGTGACGCCAACAGAATGGCATTTCCGCACCAACAAAGGGCCACTGATTAACATTAAAATCATTTGTGAAAAATCGTATACCTTTGATTACAATTTTAAAGTCAATAGAGTCTAAGAATGACCAACCTCCACCAACAACCATTTTATTATGGAACAGAAATTGGTCGCTGTGAAATATTTAAAATTTGATTCCTCCAGAACTATTGAATTGTTTTCATATTTTCCAGTTGAAATTTTATTCTTTAAAATGGTGAGAAAAAATTTCATACCTCTCCATTTAAAAAAATTTTTTAAAAATATTATTAAATATGATAATAACGACAATAAATATTCAAATCATTACTTTTTTTATCCCATTTCTCCAGAGCAGGTAAATTTAGCTGGGTTTTTTTTTTTAACAAAAAACTTGTCACTTAAATATAATAAGTTTTTAAAAGAACATTATGTATTTACCAATAAAGAAGATTCAAATATGTATTAGTGATAATGCGTTATTTAAACTTAATATAAAATACATATAACAAAATTATAGTAACTTTTTGGATTTATTTATATTTTTAAGCTTATACAACACTTTTTAATAATAAAAATATTTACGCAGTAAAACTTAAAGTTAATGACCACTAAATGAAAAAACCCAAAGGTCTCCGGGTTTTTTCAATAAAACCCAGGCGAGCTGGGTTTTTTCTAAAATAATTGGGTTTTTTCAAACCCAGGTTCTTGCAGAATGATTTTTCTTTTCGACAGAAATTTACATGTAAATATTTAAATTATGTATTTAGAAAACTTTTTGATCAATTTACAATGATAGTATCGTAAATGTTTGTTAATAGTATGTTAATGTTTCAGTTGTATTTTCGGCAGTTATTTATATCGATTTTCAAGTGGATTTTAAATATCCTGATACATTTCAAGCAATATAGAAAATTCGAATCGTGCATTTCAGTGTTTACTTTTAAATACAATAATTCTATTGAATTTTTGGCAGTTATTGCTATTTATTTTTTCGTAGTTTTTAAATCCGATGTTTTTTTTATACGATATTATTTGTTACAACAACCTAATCTCAAAACAAATCAGGCATTTGAGAAGTCCGATTTGCGTGGTTTCATCGTTGATCTTTTTTTCGGCAATTACTACCATGGATTTCATACTTTTTAGATATTTTATTTTTATTGTGATGATTATTCACAAATCGCGAGGAATAAATTTTGCTTCCCCCCCCCCCACAACAAAATGCAAGAATATAACCCATAATATTAGAATAAAAAATTATTACAAGTTCAATTATATAGTATGTTAGATTTTTTTTCTTCCGTAAACCTCTTTTTGTTATTTTAAATTATTAACATATCAGAGCTCGTTCTAGGCAGGGTAAACAGGGCACAGCACCCTGCTGCCCTTTTAGTCAAAAGAATCCACCCTGTTGCTTTTGAAGTAAATTAGTGCCCTGATGTAATAGACTCCATAACCTTTTTGCCCATGCTTTCCTCAACCCTTTATTTTTTCCCCAAACTCTACAATGGATTTCTTAAACTTTTGTTATTTTCAACTCTTTTTATTTAGTTTGTCCTTGCTCTCAATACATAGATTTATATGGGAAAGGAAAAATAGCCATCACACCCCCTTGTTGCACTAGTCTTTGAAAGTTTGCAGTTACTTCCACTATCATTAAATAATAATTATTATTAATGATTTTAATTTATAAATCATAACTACAGACACTTAAAAACATGCATTTATTATTTTATTAACATATGCATGCATTTTAAATAAATTACTAAGCTAACTAGCTCGATATATATGTTAATTTAGTAATAAAAATTAGTAATTAATATGATTTCTTTGCTACTGTTAGTAAAGTTGATAAAAACATTTTTCATTTACTAATTGACAATGTTTATTAATAGAATGTGTAAAGCCCATAGAAAGAAATTATTGCCTTTTTTAAAGTAATAATGCCCTTTTTTTAAACTTTTGCACCCTGCCCTTTTTCCTTCCTAGAATGAGCTCTGAACATATATGATTAAAACTGTCTTGCAGAAAGATATTCGTGCTACAGTTTTGTTGTAGATAGCTCAAAAAAATTCTGCCAGAGAGTTGTACTGTTGCATTTTTTCTTACATCTCTCTGATAATTTTTTGGGTTTAGTGTCTCCAGAAATTAATGTGTAAAAATTTTCTATAGAATTTAACTATTTATTGTGATGTCAGTAGAATGTAATTTTTGTTTAATGCAAATGTATGAATATTTTCAGACATTTATCAGAACATATTTCAGAGTTTTGTCATGTTAATACATTTAACAAGTTATCAAGGCATATATCTATCTCAGCAATATTTTTTACATAAAAATGTATTGCTATAAACTTAGAATGTATTAAAATAAGCACTCAACTATTCTTGGAACATATGTATTCAGAGTTGGCAAATTTTTGACAATCGACAGTTTTAACCATGGTTTTATCATCTGTCTTGTCAAAAAGCCCTTTTTGACAAGTGTCAATATCTCAAAATTTTAGTGTAAGGATAATTATTAGCTATTATAAATAAGAAGTATTTATAAATAAACATACATATAAAATTATAAATGATCAATGTTTAAATATTATTTTGATATTAAATTCTTTTTGACAATTACTGTCAGAAACCCAAATTTTTGTGTAGAAAATATTAAATAATAATTGAAAATGTGCAAAATTGAAATGTACGCAATCTGTCCGTTTGTTAATATATTTGAAATCAAAATACATATACAATCGGTATAATTATAAAAAAAATCACTCAACAGCCGTCTTAATCATTATATCTAAAATCATTTTCATTTAATCCCATTTTAACTACTTCTTTCCCTGAAGCATACACCTACCAAAAAAAGTTTTGAAGCCTTCTCTATAGGTTGTCCACAGTAAGAACTCCCCCCGCCACAATGTCTGAGACCATCTGCTGCTATGGAAACAAGAACAGCGCATTTCAGGGAGGGTAATTTCTCTTCACTCTAGGGCTAACACAATAAACTGAAGAGAAAAAAAAGATTCCCTTTCGTTCGCTGACCGGAGCCAAAACCTGCCCTAAACAGTGACCCCACACCCTTACTTGAAATAGTTAAACCTCGTTACCATAGTTACCACCACGGGTCCTGTTAAATGACTAGGGGAGTTCTCACTTTAGACAAACTATACTCCAATTTCTTTTTTCAGTTTTGTATGAATAAGACTGAAATTCCAAACTATTATTTTGATTGATGCTGAGCTGCGTAGTCTAGAGCAGTGTTCCCCAACCTTTTTATCACCCCTGACCTGTCAACGGACCTGTTGACTGCAGCCCGCTGTGGGGGGTGGCAATGATTGTTTATATTTTAGATTATTTTGATTCATTAATTTTAATTAAATTGTATT